TCATCCCTTTTACCCTGGATAGCACCTTCGTTTTACTCTGGATAGCATCTTCGTAGCTCCTCCCATGTAAAAAAAAAAGTACACGAGCGACACTTTTAGAAAGTAGACCACGGTTTTCAACTGAAAGGAGTATGACCATCGTAGCAACTCGGGACATGTGGTCAAGAGCCCCATCCTTATTTTTACGCAATAGACCGAAGAAGAAGATACAGCGTGCACCTCCAGCAAACGGGTCGGAATTGGCAGCCTACTGACATCCTCTTTTCTTTGTTATTTTATCGCCTTGATTTTTCCCTGTGATGATAAGATTTTCACCTGATGGAGATATTTCACAAAACTAGTGTAGATTATGCAACTATCGTGCTAACCTCAGAATCGGTGACAAGTGGGAGAAGAGGGTTATCTTGCAAATTCTAGAATCTGTTTATTTGAAGAAGCTGGGGTATTCTATTTATATCTCTCAGCTCCAAGTCATTGTGCTGATTTCAAATCTATCTGGAGCCAAGTCCATTGATTTGTGTTCCTCAGCTCCTGCGTCTTTATCATCTTTTTCAATTTTCTAGCATTGTGATTTTGCTCTTACTTGTGTTATATGTATGGTGGCGGGCCCGGGCATAATTGTGAGAAGGGATTGTCAAAGCCAACGCGTGTCCCATGTTCTTATGTGCTATGATACTTGTTTTGGGTCGTTCTTCAAATGTCCCGTTTGTATTTGTATATGAAAGGAGCTTCTGCGGCACAAGAAAAGTATTTACGCATGCTGTCATGTAAATAGAGTCGGGTATTTCCATCAAAAGTTTGGAAAACTAGCGCAGATTATGCAACTATCGTGCTAACCTTAGAATTGGTGAAAAATTGCGGGGAGGATGTCTATTCTCAGCAATGCGGTGGCCATTGAATTTGCTGAAGTTCAGCTCTGGCAGATAGGTTGGCTGCATACCTTATCACATCTGTAGTATAGAACTTGTTGCTCTTCTGAATGCTCGTGTGTTCTTTAGTCGTAGTTAAGTCACTAGGAACAAGAGTATGTTTGGTCAAAACAAAGTAAGAGAGCTCTCATTGTGGTGCGGCCGGAGGAGCGGGAGCAGACCCACTTGGTCAAAACAAGGGATGAAGGAATTCGATCATTTTTTTTATATATAATGTAAAAGATTAGAAGATTCTGCTTGTTAGTAAAACTAATTAAATTGTCGTATTGATATGCTGTCAAAGTCTAGCTCTTTCTTTGCGACAGAAATCAGGAAGGAGGGTCCTTGTGCTCCCATTAGGAGAAGGAAATCCTCATATAAATCTAATTTTTTTTTGCCACATTTAATTTAATAACTTTTTTCATCTTGGAATTTCCTCCAAGTTAATGAATAGGAATGCCTCTGCAAGCATTTTGTGTATTGATCAATTTTCCTATCACTTTTCCCCTATATTGGTAGTTTCCGATAGTAGATTTGTTAGGTGTGGCTGGCTTATTGTTATAAGCACGAGGACCTCAGCAAATTTGGCCTCATGGGCATTGGGTATTTTTTCCATTACCAAGTCCTTTTATCTGATTTCCATGCTTTGTTTTGCCAGTTAAATCGTTTGGCATGTTTTTCGGTTAAGATGATGGATTATACTAATTTTCAACAATAGTGTAACCTCTTTTATCCTGAGAACTTTGCTTTCATTTCTAATATTCACTAATCCTTCTTATTGCTTTTTGTTAAAATTTTGCATATTGTTTCTACAGGTATTTTCATTGTCGAGCAGTCATTATTCTTTGCACCTTGAGTTCTCGCAGATATGGATTCCCCCTGAAGAGCATTTTGTCTTTCCATTAGGAAAAGCAGCATTTATTTGGAAGTATGGTCACTGCTGCGCAGTAGCTTTTACCATTTACTGTGACTATGTCGATGATGGCGTTACTGGATATTCTTCTCTCAGAATTGGGTATCTTCTCCTTTACCGGTGTCTACCAAAAATGTTTTCAATAAGAGTAAATGTCTCTTGGTGGGTGTTATTGAGACTGCTGCTTTTGGTGCCCGCTGGCCAAGAACTTTTTGCTCCAATGAAGATTGGATTTGTTGCCATTTCTTTCTTGCAGAAGCCATCTTTGGTTTCTCCTAACAAAAGAATAGGTTTTCCATATCTATCGAAAATAGTTTCCTTCTTGGGATACATATAATGCAATTGTCGCACTGTAGGTAGTGTCTTCAGTTAAACCGATGCTAATGCCTTTGGTTGACATGGTGTCCTAGCTTGTTCCAGGACCCAAGGACTTCGACTAGAAATGCCTTCAGTTAAAACCTATGTTTTAAATCAAGATTCTTTTACTTCCTCCAGATCTCATTTTTTGTATGTTATCACACCTCATCGGTGGTGTCTCTTGTTAATAGAATGTGGACCCAGTAATGTGCTCTATCAGTATCACACTTAAAACTCTTACCTGGACAGCTGTTCACTCTGAAAGTTGGGTGGCTACCTTGTTGGATGAATTTGAAGAGAAGTGGACCGTGTCTTATTTCTCATTAGTCTTTAATATTGTTCATTTTGGCCCGTTGATATGCACTTTATGTGCTCTTTTCTGCTGGTACAAATTCTTCACTGGGAATATTAAATTAGCAACTGGACATATTATACTGGGGTGGATTTCCTGAACCACTCAGGCCTTAAGGACGCACATTAGTGATTGCCCCTCTCTGTACTTCTTTTTTTTTTCAATTTTAGTGTGCTCTTTTTCGATTTCTTCTTTGAAAATTGGATTGACCTATATAGAACTTTTGCAGGTGTCGAACCAACTTTTGGGATCCCGTCCATATTGGATGGACTGGTAGTATCATTTTCTGACATTTGCTTTTAATGGATTAGAAGAGGTCGACACTTGTTTAATTGGGTGGTTAGATGTTTGGCAGAGTCCCTTTTGTCTCGTTGATGATTTTTTTATCAGGACTCTCAAGTTGATTACAATTTTGCAGCCATTGAAATGGTGGGGTTGCACTTGCTTTTATGCACGCCTGAATGGAACACAGTGTCTGTCCTTTTTCTGCACTTCTCCTCCAACGTCTAACTAGATGGTTAATGGACCCCATATCGTGAATTATTGATCCATTAGAAGCAACGTTGAAGAGATGTCTAATGTGCTCCTTTCCATCCGTGGATGTAGGTCAAGCTGGCAAACCACGTAAATTTCCAGGTGCATCTTTTGGCGATTTATTTATTTTTTATCCGTGTCGATAGTTTAGGTTTTAGATGAAATGACAAATAAAAAAAAATAATAATAACGAGACCTTAGTCACAACCGTTAAACATGGTATCTATGTATATTGCTAAATGCTTGAAAATCTTCTCACAATTTGACAATTCAAGATCACTGCTCAGTGAAATCCCAAATGCTCATATGGACTTTGCTTGTAAATAATTCTTTGGTGGTGAAGGAGATGAATGAATTGGGAAGAGTCGAATTATTTTAGTTGTATTGTAAATGGATCTTTATCTTAATTTCGGATCAGTATTTCTATTATAATATCAAGGATAACAAGCTTCCATGTGCTATCTCATCTGCAATTGAAAATGTTATGTGTAGAATCCCAACAGATTTAACCCTAAAAGAAAGAAAGCTTTATTGTGCAAGGGGAGGATACTTAAAATCTAACATATATAGAAAGAGAATATTTATCAGGCTTCATATTGGCCATTTTTATTTATTAAAAATATTTTCGAAATTTTTTGTATGAAAGAAGAATGAAAAATCTGGGCCTTCTCGAAAATGGTTTTAATTGCAATGCTCACATCACAATTTTTAAAATTGCAGTATTTTCAGATTTTAAATAGTTATCAGATAAAAAAAAAGCAGTCCTTGGGATATTAATAAAGAGTACAACGATTAGCACCTCGGAAAATCAAACACCATATTTCAAACATCTAAAGAAAAAAAAGCATAACTTCAACATTCAAGATACTTTTAACACAACCTTCCAAACTTTTTTAAAGAACGTACAATGTTCTACCATTGAAATAAATCGTGATGAATTGTTCTTAAAAATCCTGAGTGGCAGCCAATAGGCAATTTGTGATATGTGTGGTTGCCATGTCATTTCGTGTAAGTACATAAAATTATTGAATCCTTTGATAAAAAAAAAATTTAATGACAATTGCCTAATCTAGATTTGAACTTAAGTGAAAAAGGTACTTCTTTCATTCGCGCTGCTGATTGTTGGTACCAAATTGTCAATGCTAGCATTCGGAATCGTAACAGAGGGGACTAGCATTCGGAATCGTAACAGAGGGGAGTTGCGCTAAGTTTCAAACAATAGCTTTTATTTTTTACTTTTGATTTGGATAAATTTTGCAAAACCAACATTTTTTACTTTTGTCTAGCCCAAAATACTTAAAAACTTTCAAGTGGAATCTTACATGATTTTTTTTTTCACAAGTTAATGCAATCAAAAATTCCTATACAATTGCACGAGAATCCAAATTATCCCATTATATATATTTTTTAAAATCGATTCTATATTTGGTAAAAATGCCCATGTTATTTCGATTAAAAAATTTTCTCTTATTGACCTATTTTTACTAACATGGACCGTCGGATTGCCGACATGGACGATAAAGTGCAACTATCCTGTAATGACCAAGTCGATGGGAGCATGTTAAAATGTCTCCACGAGTGGCACTTTTAAATATTAGATGACGATTTTCAACTAAAAGAAAGTATGACCATCACAACGGTCAAAAGAGAAAAATCGTCAAGCCCAACGGTCGGAACTTTGCCAAATTCCAACGGTCGACCATCACAACGGTCGGCCTGCCAAACACAACTGTTTGTTGACTTAAAACTTTGACCGTTGGAATTTGGCAAACCGACCGTTGCACTCGACCATCACATCTGTTTGTTGACGATTTGACCGTTGCTGCCAAATTCCGACCGTTGCATGTCAAGCGCAACGGTCGGAATTTGGCAAGCCGACCGACTTTCCCAATTTAAACCGTCGACAAACAGATCACGAGACGGACCATCCATCCGATCAACGACCCTGCTACTGCTTCGCGTCCCAATCCTAATTTCCAAACCTGACTCTCTGCTTCGGATGACCGTTGTCGGTCCCCGAGGTCGGGGTGTCTCCACCCTATAAATACCCGTCGTCTCCTCTCCTCTCCTCTCGTTCTTTGTATCCTTCTGGTTCTGCTCGCGTTTTTCTTCTTTTCTCTCTCGCCCACAGCGTCTCTGCGAGAAAAAGAAGGAAGTAGCGGTCGCGATTTAAGCGTTCTTCATGGGGTCCCCTTCTTCTTCTTCTTCTTCTTCTTTTTTCCTTCTTGTTTCCGTTTCTTGATCTTGGGCCGATTGCTTTTTCTCGATCTTGATTTTTGAAGACGTCTTGTTGCAGAAACCCCCCGCCCTTGCTTACGAGCTTGGCCTCTTTGGGAGAGGACGATGTATCGGAATTATTTGGTCTTCGATAGATCTACCGTTATTGGTTTCACCAGCATATTCTGGATTTTTGTTCTTCGGCGAATCCGCAGTGCCTTCTTTCCTCTCGGATCATATATCTTGACGGTTGAGGATGGTCGTTATGGGAGTTGTTTCGTTTAGCTCCTCCTCCGATCCTCTTTATTGATCCATCGACCGATGGATGTTTCCGTTTACTTGTTTACGAGCTGCTTCTGGGTTTTTGTTATTTGGTGAATTCGCAGTGGCCTTCTTTTTCCCCCTGGAGCGAATGGACGGTGACACTGGTCAGTTCGTTTCGTGATCCCTTTTGCCCTTCTTTTTTTTGGGTTGAGATGATGAAATTAGTAGTCTTTTGATCACATCTTTGACTGGGCGACAGACTGAGATTTTCTGGGTTTAGATTGGAATTTGTTCTTCGGTCTTTTTTATCTTTGGGAGTTGATTAGCGTCCAGGCCTAATTCTCTCACGGGTTGGAGTTGGTTGTCGGTTTGAATGATATTTGTTATATCCAGTCTCATAATTTTCCGGTTAATGCGAAAACCGATTTTCATCTCTTCAGAGGTCAGTGGTTGGCCAATGTATGATCTGTGATAGTTCTTTCTTTGGGACGACGATGTCTCAGAATTATTTGGTTTACGCCTCGTCCTTTGATCGGCTTAGTGATCCATCGAACTTTGCGTCATTGTTTTGCCAGCTTATTCTGGATTCTTGTTATTATTCTGTGTAATCGGCAGTGGCGTCTTTCCTCTTGGATCGCATCTCTTTCATCTGAGGATGTCGTTATGGGAAGTGTTTGGTTTATAGCTCCTCCTCTGATTAGTTATTGATCTGTCGACCGATCGAATCTTTCCGTTTTACTTGTTTAAGAGCTGCTTCGGGATTTTGTTATTTGGTGAATTCGCAGTGTCTTTCCCCTTTGGAGCGAAACTTTTTGTCTGAGGCCTGTCAACGAGGATGAACAGTAAAACGAAGATGTTTGGGCTTTCTGAAGGACTGATGATCCGTTTTGGCGTTATATTTGATCACAAGTTTTTGCCTGAGCCGATGATTGTCTGAATTGATTAAGCTTTATCGGGTTTGGTCGATGTATGATCTGTGACGGTAAGAGCAAGGTGTACGCTATCCAATCCAGATCCGCTCCGTCTCTTCCTAGAAATAGCCCCCTCCCTCGTGTCTTCATCCTTCAGTCTCATTGTGCGTTTCTGATTGTGCGTGCGTTCCTCTCTCAGTTGACACAGCTCCTCTTCAGAGGATAACATCGTTACCCAAACGCGCTCTTGATCCTTCTCCTTTTCTTTTTGTTTCTTGATTGATTATTAGATCGGTCTGATTCTGCCTCTCCGGGACTCTGCCATGTTGTGGACGTCGTTTGGGTTTGCGCTCATCACCTATTGATCTTTCCAAGTTTAATTGTATTATGAGCTGATTCTGGTATTCACTATTTCCATGGATTGGCAGTGGCTTCTTTCTTCTTGGAGCGATCATTTTGTCCGAGTACAATGAATACAAAGCACCTGGTCAGTTGGTTACATAGATTAAGACATCTGGGCTTTTTGGAGGACTTATGATCTAGAAGTCTTCGTTGTCAGTACAAACGATGGACTGAAATTTTGACAACCTTCTGGGCTTCTTTTACAGGTTGGAAGTCATATTGGATTTGACAGCTGGTGATCTTGATGCGAATCGGTTTCGCTTGGTTGCGAAAAGGTTAGGTTTTGTTGTGCGAAAACAGAAGGATAAATTGGACGAGCTCACCACCAGGTTTGGATATAGGTCGAACCACCACCAAACAAGGATACAGATGCTCAAGGAGGCTCACCACACTTAGAATTCACTAAGTGATACGGAAACCTTAAGTTTTGCAATAGAATTGCAAGAGAAAACTCTCAATATTCATTCAAAATGGTCATCCCTCAAAGTGAGGCCCAAGAGGACTTTGAATTGCAACATAGAGTTCAATCAGCTTCTAACAACCTTATTTAATTCCTAAGACTTAGCAAAAACTTTGAATCTAAACTTAGAAACTTGAAATCATTAAAATAAAAGAAGTTGGCAACGAGAAGATGACATTTAATTGTCTTGATCAGATTCGCACCACTTCCACAGCAATTAATACTCCAAATTCGGACTATTCATGCACTGTTCATTAAACCACCAGAATGACTTCAATGCTTCTCTTCAATCGGCAATATATGTGGTGAACTAATTCCATGTAAGCATAATAACAAGTGGGGCACAAGTGGGGCATGCATCATCCTCCCTTTGCTGAAAAAGATTTGTCTTCAAATCTTGATAATCTTCGTCTGACTCATATGGAGAGAGATCTCGAACATTAAAGGTTGCTGAAACATTAAAATCACCTGGTAGATCAATCTTGTAGGCATTGTCGTTGATTCGTTCCAAAACCTTGAATGGTCCTTCGGCTCTCGGCATTAGCTTCGACTTGCGCTTAGAAGGAAATCTCTCTTTTCTCAAATGAATCCAAACTAAGTCTCCTGGATGAAAAACAACAGTTCGCCTGTTCTTATTAGCCTTTTTCTGATAAATCTCATTTTGCTTCTCAATTTGAGATCTGATCTTTGCATGGAAATCTTTCATCACTTTAGCGCGTTGATCAGCTTCATGATGCACCAAATCCTTGGTTGGCAAGGGCAGCAAATCCACAGGAGTAAGTGGATTGATTCCATAAACAACTTCGAAAGGAGAGCACTTTGTGGTGCGATTAGGAGCTCGATTGTAGGCAAACTCAGCATGAGCAAGCTTTAAGTCCCAATCTTTATGATTTTTGGACACTAAAGTTCTCAATATAGCTCCCATCGTACGATTAACAACTTCGGTCCGCCCATCGGTTTGTGGGTGACATGATGTCTTGAATAGAAGTTTTGTGCCAAGCTTACTCCATAAAGTCTTCCGTAAACCACTTAGAAATTTGCTATCCCGATCTCGATACAATAGTGCGAGGAACTCCATGGAGTCGAATGATCTCACGAAAATATAAGTCGACAATGTGAGAAGCATCGTCGGTTTTATGGCAAGGCACAAAATGAGCCATTTTCGAGAATCGATCCACAACCACCATAACAAGATCCTTTTGCCTTTGAGTTCTCGGCAAACCAAGGACAAAATCCATACTCACAGACTTCCCATGGAACTTTAGGAATTGGCAATGGCATGTATAATCCTTGCGGAAGAACGTGGCTCTTGGCCTTTTGGCACGTCACACGCGCTTAAGGATACTCCGGACGTCCTTCGCCATATTTGGCCAATAAAAATGTTCTTGTAGCATAGCCAAAGTTTTGTTGACTCCAAAATGACCAAGCAATACCACCTCCATGAACTTCTCGAATCAATAACTCCCTTGTGGAACTTTGAGGAACGCACAACTTGTTGTCTTTGAAGAGAAAACCATTTTGGATATGGAAATGGTCTCGCGCACCTTTCTTGCATGCTAAATATAGGATTGAAGTCTACATCATCAGCATAGAGTTCTTTGATTACCTCAAATCCTAAAAGCTTGGAATCCATCAAGGTCGAAAAGAATGTCTCCGGAGAGTGCATCGGCCACAACATTCGTACGTCCGAGTCTTGTACTTGATCACAAAAGAATAGGATTGAAGATACTCAACTCATTTAGCATGCCTTTTATTCAGCTTGTGTTGGCCATTGATGAACTTCAAGGCTTCATGATCTCGAATGCAAAACAAACTCCTTTGGCAGCAAATAATGGCTCCAATGCTCCAATGCTCGAATGATGGCATAAAATTCTTTGTCATAGGTTGAATAGTTCAGCTTAGAGCTATTGAGCTTCTCGCTAAAATAAGCGATTGGTCGATTTTGCTGAAGTAGAACTCCTCCAATTCCAATGCCAGATGCATCACATTCAACTTCAAAGAGCTTTTCAAAGTTGGGAAGTGCAAGGACCGGGGCCTCACAAAGCTTCATTTTAATAGCCTCGAAGCTTCGCTGAGCCATAGAAGTCCATAAAAACTTTTCTCCCTTCAAGCAATCGGTAAGTGGGGCAATAATAGTGCTGAAATTTTTAATGAAGCGACGATAAAAAGAAGCCAAACCGTGAAAACTCCTCACGTCATGAATAGATTGGGGTGTCGGCCAGGTTTGGATTGCTTCTATCTTGCTTTCATCCACTTGAATGCCTTCACTTGAAATAACATATCCCAAGAAGACAACACTTGAGGTAAAAAAATGACACTTTTTCAGATTGCCAAATAATTGCTGAATACGCAATTCTTCAAATAGCTTCCTCAAATGCTGTAAGTGTTCTTCCTCATTTCGGCTGTAAACAAGGATATCATCAAAGTATACAACAACAAATTTTCCAATAAATGGCTTCAGAATATGGTTCATTAGCCTCATGAACGTACTAGGGGCATTGGATAACCCGAATGGCATGACAAGCCACTCATAGAGGCCTCCCTTGGTTTTGAAAGCCGTTTTCCACTCATCACCTTCCTTCATTCGAATTTGATGATAACCACTCCGAAGATCTACCTTAGAAAAAATAGTGGCACCATGCAATTCATCTAGCATATCATCAAGTCGTGGAATGGGATAACGGTACTTTACCGTAATTTTGTTGATGGCACGGCTGTCCATACACATCCTCCACGAACCATCCTTCTTGGAGACCAAAATGGCTGGTACAGAACATGGACTCAAGCTCTCTCGTACGTAGCCTTTGGAGATCAGCTCATCTACTTGTCGTTGAAGCTCTTTAGTCTCCTCCGGGTTGCATCTATATGCCGGTTTGTTTGGTAACGGTACGCCGGGCATTAAATCAATTTGGTGTTGAATCTCCCTCTTTGGAGGTAAGCCGGATGGCATCTCTTCAGGGAAGACATCAGCAAACTCATTCAGCAATGTCATGACTAAAGGATGAATCAAATCTTCATGGACCACATTCTGCTCAAGCAAAAGTAGCGCATAAATTTGTTGCTTCTTCAAGCAAGTTTCACGAAGTTCAGCCTGGCTAAGAAAATGGCCAGCTACTCCATTCTCTTCATGTCGAGCACGCTCATCACAGCTTGGAGACAATGGGGTAAGAGTGATTCTTTTCTGCCCTAAATGGATAGAATAAGTATTCTTGAATCCATCGTGCATCGCCTTTCGATCATACTGCCATGGTCTTCCAAGTAACAAATGGCAAGCATCCATAGGGATTATATCACACGTAACCTTATCTTGATAATGTTTCCCAATTGAAAATGAGATTAATGCTTGTTTAGTTACCTTCACATCACTCCCCTTGTTGAGCCATTGGAGTTT